TGCAAAGCTTTGTGCTCCAGTTACTGTTCTGGAGATTGAGTCTTATGAAAGGAAGCTAATTCAGAGTTGCAGCTGCTTTAAATAGAAGGTGCTAAAAATAAAGTGAAACATCTTTTAAAAAAAAAAGAATAGAGAAGGAATTCTGTTACTAGTGTAAATATCTCAAAATGCCATAAACTATGCTGCGAGTTTCTTGATAAACTGTGATCAAGTGATCATCAAATCTCTCATCCAGATCTCAGATGAACCCTGCCAAGTGCTGTAGTTTTGAGAGCAGCTGTAATCAGTGCTCATTGCAGGTCATAGTCAGTACCCCAGTAAACAGGCTTTTTGGGGGGAGCACTGAGACACAGAACTGAAAACTACCTTGGGTTTGAAATACTTCTGGCTAAAAGTACATCCAGTCTTTTATAAACTTAGGCACTAAAGGGGGATAAATTTGTTGTCCTTTAGTGCACAAACACATCCATGTATGGTGACGGTTCTCTTGAGCTCAGACTGCATACTTACCTTACTATTGGGTCTCTTACCTATTCAGTAGTAATTCTGATGTAGTAGTAATTCAGTAGTAATTTTCTGATAGAAAAGGCTGACTATGTTTGTTTGCTAATTCCCTCTTCAAGGTATCTTTGAATCACTTCTTCGTCCAAGTGCTTGGTTCAGTTCTGGCTCTGGAGCAGTAACACAGATGCACAAAGTTCCACTATTGTGCTTCCTTTGATAAATATAACCGAAGAACACTTTTTTGGGACAAAATGCCTAACTCCTATATCCTGTGCACAGGATGGGAACTGGAAGATTGCTATTGACTTCCCCATCCTACTGCATGATTAATGACCTTACTTCTAGGATCAAGGTTATGAGAATAGGTAGACATAAATCCTTTTGGAGAGCTAGTGTCCAAACCATGAAAGTAAGCTAAGGACTCAGGCATGAATAAAGCAACACTTCAGTTACTCTCTCTATGTCTTGTGTAGAGGTTTGATACCCTTGCCAGACTTGTATTTTTAAAATTCTGTTTAGATTTTTTTCAGTGGAATTGCAGTCAGCTACTCATGTTTTGTACTTGTGCAGCTGATTATTGATACCAGAGCTTACTGGTTCCCCCTTACCCTTATTGAATTGCACCCTTTTTATTTCAGACCATTGCTCCAATTGGGCAGGATTTTCCTGAATTCTATTCCTGCTTTCCAGAGTACTTGCAGATCTTCTGCAGGTATAGAGATAGTCTGTACTGCACTGCCCAAGTAATGGATTAAAGTATCCCATGACACCCTTGGAGGAGGCCTTGGGAGAGCCCTGAGGAATGATCCTTGCACTGATCCCTTGGAGAACCACATGCACAGAGTAGTTGCCAATGGTGGGCTCGCTTTTTATGAGCTGAGCTGTTGCCAACAAAAGTGTCATGCAAGGTGGCATTAAAAGCTCAACTCATTTTATGACATGGCCACATCTCCTGTGGCTTTCTATCTGATGCCTGTTAATGGTTCTCAGAAGGAATTATGGCTGAAGTGAGCGTCTGTAAAGGTAACCCATGTGTGCTTGCTGCCGTCTGGGTAGTGAATATGTGTGTCTGTTCTTCTTTGGATTTCCTTAGAGCATGGATTGTCTGACCTGTTCTCATGTTCTTCAAAGATAGGTGGTTAGGCCTTTTGGGTGTTTGGCATCATTTCTGTTCTCAAACCTAAAGAAAATAACTCAGTGAAGTTGAGAGAGATTTGTCTGAGGTGGTATTAATTTTTTATTTTGGGAAAAAAGTGCTATTTTACATGTGTTCTTGTTGTTGCCCTCAATTGCTGAGGTTGGTCAGTAGCTTGAAGATTGAAATGTGTTCATGAACAATGATATTACTATTTATTTCAAAGGAAGTAGCTGGTAAAAAGGCATCTGTGCAGCAGCCCCTGTGTGTCGGGCTGATACCCAGTCCAAAGCCAGTATCATTACTTGAACCAAAAGGCATTTATCTCTATACTTGTTTATTTGACAGCTTTTGCAGGCATGGTTTCTAGCAAACAGAGCCTTCAAGGATGAAGTTTGTATTTGGTGTATTGTCCTGATGAATGGCAGTGGGGGGATACACTTCCACCTGTGACGTGAGACTTGGGACGAGGTCTAGGCTTGCCTTTTAAAGGGACAGCTTCATGTCCTGGGCATTCAGAGAACTGAGTAAGTTCTCCTTGTTTAAATTTGGATCAGATTTTCTGCTGCATGAAAACTGTTCTTAAAAACAAGAGCAGGGAGTGAGTTGTGAATATTTGCATTCATGAGCTTTTAAAGGACATAAATGCAGTATGTGTTGTAGGACTTGTTTAGAGAGACATAGAGGCATTTTTGGCCACTTGAGATACATTTTGAATGTTTAAGTGTACTAAGCTGGGAATGAAATTCAGCCCGTGTACCCTTGGGGATACCTGGTCTCTCTCACCAGAGATGGAGGAAGAGAAGTTCTGGAGTACCTTCTGTGGAAGGTGGTTGCTATTTCTCTGGGACATTTTTGTCCTGTGTGGCTCTCGGTTCCTCTGTATCAATCTGCCAGGGACTGGGACTGGGTCCTGGCCTCAGACCTGGCAGTCTGCCAGGGAGGAGACATAGGCAGTCTGCTTTTCTGCTCCAGGATGTCCCTGTGTTCACTTAGGGCAGTGTCAGGAGGACTTGTGGGGCTCCAGCTGTGGCACAGCAGCAGCAGGCTAGGTTTTACTGCTCCTGTAAACTGTTTTCTCAGTTGTTTCTGCAAACAGAAAGGCATTTTAGTCGTTCCCTAACCTTTCACTGTTTCCTATGGTTAAACTAGATGCCTCAGCAGTCTGAAACTCAGTCATATTAGTTCAGATCTGCATGTGAGGCATCATTCATGATGCCTCTTTGGATTTACTTTTCCTGTTTAGGTACACATATCCCCATTAATTATTTTTAAAATATATAGCTGTGGAGTAGAAAAGATTCTCTTACTTGTCTGCAGCAATGCAAAAGCAATTTCAACAGAAGGGGTTACAAATGAGAATCTAATAAGGAAAATTTTTCCGTATATTTTCAGATGCTTGCTTAAGAACATTACAAAAATACAAAGTATAGAGGGTATCAGTATAAAAATAGACTATATGGAATACATGCTGTGTGGTTATAAACCACTTTTTATACCTAACAGTAGCAACCCGGCTTTATATGCTACAAGTAAATTTATCTTGGAAGTTAAATGACTTTCTATTTACAGCCTCATTCCAAGGAAGGGACTGTGCATGCTCCTGACAGCTGCATTAGAAAGAGGAGCCCGGGCCTGGGCCTTGCTTTCAGCAAAGGAGTGCTCTCTTGATCTGCAGATGCCAATTGTTCTCCACATGTCAAGTCCTATTACACAAATGTCCTTTAGCTATTGTGTTGCTCTTCCTGTAATTATTTGTCGAGTTGTATGCAGTGCTTCTTAGGAAAATGTGGATCTTACCAACATAGGAGGATGGTGTTTATCAGTTTTGATCAAGCAACTTCTGTAACAGGTTTTAAGCTGAATTCCAGACTCACATGGATTTTTTTTCTGGAAGGGTACAGTGCTGAAGGTGGGAAAAGGAATGACAGACACTTTAAACTCAGAAACTTCCTGATCGTTGCTGATACACAAGTACCACTATCCTTCCAAGATTTTTGGTATACAACTGTCATGAGAATCGAATTATTTATGATAGTATTTTGTTATGGTATTGCTTCTGTGATGTTTTTGTTTTATTTTATGTGATTTTTCTTATGCAGTAATTGTACTTCTGTTTAAATAACTTGAAGTCAGTTGTTTTTAGAAATACTCCTGCCATAAACTTAGAGAAGAGATTGATACCTGTGCTTCCAATGTGATACAAACTTCTCATTTTAAAACTGATTCTAAACGGACTTTGAGCTCATGCTTGCGTTTCTGAAGATCTTTCAGCAAGGCTGTTGCATCGGTCTCTAGGGCTGGCGTGGCTCTGCCCATATGAGGATGAGCAGTTTGAGGAAGGGAGTTTCTAAGCTTCTGTATAACGCAGCTGCAGCCACTGCCAGCAGAGAACTGTGTGCTTCGTCCAGTATCTGGTTTACAACAAATGTTCAGATGAGGCTTTGGAGAAGTAAAATTTTCTAATGACACTGGCAGTGTAGTTGCCATGGTGGGGCTGAGGCTGAAGGGTCAGGCTGCCTCGGGGCTCTGGCACTGGAATGTGGCCGCAGTGTTCCAGCAAGTGTGCTGTGCTCTGGGCTTGTGGCTGTGAGAGTGCTCTGGTGGTGCAGGGCCAGGGGCCTCCATCAGCCCTTGCCCTGTTGCACCTCGGGAAGGGGAAGGGGGAAGGTGACTGATAGATGCTTACAAAGGTAATTGACATTCCATTTTTAATTTCTAGCTGGATCTGTTTTTCAGTTATAACTTGATCTGTCGTAGTTTAAATGTGGCATATTGAGCTCTGACTTCCAGGTCCCCTTGGAGGAATCATCTGTTTTGAGTATAAAGCAGGGGGTTAAGTAAGATGGAAACACTGGGTACTGTGTACAGAGGTAGTCTGGGGCATACCAAAAATGGGAAAGGTGTCTCTTGGGTTTAGGTATGTTTGACATTAGGGTGGTGATCAGCTAAACTATACAGTGTTGCCAGCAGGACAGGAGATGTCTCACTGTTGGCCTTACAGTCTCATCTTTGTACAGGAGCAGCCTGATATAGCCTGAAAATCCATTGGCTGGAGAATTACTATTTTGTTTTGGATCCATGTGTCCTTAATGCAAACCCATAGAAACAGTAGGGCCTTTCAAGCATTAGTTTAACCTGTCTGTACAGCTAATTTGCTTTGTAATGCAGGTTGAATTAAGAGAGTTGGTATTTTTATTACGTACCAATTTTCAATGTCTCTGTCTGATTCTTGGATCTCATAGGAATCCGTCAACTGCATTCTACCAAGCGTTCCATTTCAACAAGTTACACGAGTCAAAGACCACCTGGGATAGGTATGGATGCTTGAGTATGGAATGCATACATGCTGAGGTATGCATGAAGTGCTTTGCTCTATGCAAGTTTCTCATTGTTTTTGTTTGCACACAACTGCTGCCTGTGTTCAGAATTCCATATTGGGCTTCTGCAGTTTGAAGAGGTGAAAGCAGTCATGGAAGTGAAGTGTTTGTTCTGAAACATGGAACTAAACTCTGAAATATGACATGACTTTTTTTCTTCCTCCTTCCATTATGCATGTATCATACATGATGTGTAAGCTCAGAGTTTAATGCTAGTCAGCTCCTTGGTGACCTTCGCCAAAATATTTATAGTTTCCTTTTCCACAAGAGGAAACTTTTTGGCATTGAGTCCTGTATCAGAAAACACGTTGTGAAAATATTATGTTTAAACACAATTTTGGCAAAGTTAAGATATTTATGTCTTTAAACCAGGAAAAAAACCTTTCTGGCTTACTTTCATTGTGCTTAAGTAAGCTGGATGGGGAACATAGGTGAACTGTGACAAGGACAAAGTAAATCTCCAAAGTTAGCATTGAACTCATGGTGAGAAACTGCAGTGAAGTGCAACAGAGTCTTATCTGGCATGGATAGGACTTGAAAGAGGTGCATTACTAATTCATCAGTACCTGCAAACTGTTTCTCTCCTGTGCTTTAATGATTTTGAGGGATTTTTTTTTTTTTGTCAGCATTAAGTCAAAGTCCTGGTGATGATGTGATTTAATGCCTTGTGCTGCTCTGGCTTGTCAAAACTTCTGCTTAACAGGCTGTGTAGAATGTAAATTTTGTTTGGCTGTTGAAGTATTGATAACCATTTCGTCACTGTCCTGGCTGTATTTGACTTGAAAGGCTTCTCAACTTGCACAGCTCAACTGATCCTTTAAAGTTTGCTTGGCAGCAGTTTGTATATTGCACAATGATGAAGATTATAAGTAATGCTAAGTGTTCTGCTCTTTTTAAAAAATTATTTTGTATTGCTGGGGTGCTGGCATTAAGCTCAGTTTCAAAGCATATCTTCCTTTTTCAGCAGCAAGTTGCATGAATTTATGGTTTTGCTTTAGGCTTTGGATGATGGCACTTCCCTGTATTTATGGAACAGAGTTGGTATTTAGGTTTCAAGGACTTTGTTATTTCACTGGAACAAACTTCAGGGCTTAGAATACACATTTGGTTTGTAGATCAAAAGGTCACTTAGTGGTCTAGCCTTTAGCTGTTTCTCTATTTTCGTGCCTCAAAATAAGTTTTAAGATGAGAGCGCTAATTCAAAATACCCTAAAATCAAACAATGAATTATTAAGATGGAGGCTTCACAAATCTGACATTTATGTACAATGCCCGAAGCAAACACTGGAAATGTGGAATATAGAACATTAAATTCAGGTAGAAGAATGTAAATGATTGCCTTTAAAATAACCTTGCATCTTTGCCAGTGAACTCTTTGTGGTAAAAACAAGCGTTTGTGAGAACACAGAATGCAATTAATCAGGATTGATGCATGTTTTAAACTTAGAATCCATTCAAATTCCAAAGTCTTTGACAGGATTTTGCAGGTTTTGCATTTATACCCCAGTTACTGGATTTTAAGGTCACATTAGGCAGCTTTCCTTCGCTGGATGAGTGAAACTGAGAAGCTGTCAGCTATAAACTTCCAGGAGGAGCTGGTGGAGGGGTGCCAGGGCCATCAGTGGGCAAGGCAGCTGGTGGTGGGAGGTGGGCAGGACGCAGCAAGGGCTATAACAAGAGCATGGTGTGGGGCTTCTTTTGGTCAGCTCTAGTGGCAGAAAGAGTGCTGGTGACACTGAAACCAGTAAGTGTTAGGGAGATACTGGTTGTTATTGACACATGAGCAGGGATGTTTTCATGCACAGTGCTCGCATAGGTGTTGCTGAAGGCACAAGCCTCATGTGTTGGTCTTTTCAACTGCTGTGATTTAAGAAGGGGAATAGTGGCTTCTTGGCATATTCACATGGGTTTGGGTGATTGCTCTTTTGGGCCTGGGTTGTCTTTGCACAATAAAGGTGCCATGCCATCTTTTGGTGGGTCTGCCTAAAGCACAGACATTATTGGTAGTCTTGAATTTAAAGTAGTAGGATTTATGTTTCCATTGCATTTATGTGTGAAGCATTAAACCTTCACAATATAAATTAACTCATAAAGCGTGTGTGGGAGTTCCTGATGCGGTAAATTCACTGCTTCAGGTTGTCACACATTCTCACATGGCTTTGACAAAGAACAATAATGGAAGTCTGCAGTACTCACACAGATCCTCTTTCCAGGCTGGCTAGGTGATTGGATTGCTTGGGATGCTATCACTATAAAATCTCTCTATGGGATGGAGGCTAATTAAATAGACCTTAACTCTTTCAAGAATAGAAAAGTTTTCTCTGGATAGACTGAACAGCTCAACCAGTGGCTCATAAATGAGTAAACAATGAGGGGAAAGAATAAATGAGCACAGGGCTGGAGCTCCAGCCTGCCCAGTGTGGCAGCACTGCCCTGGGCACCTGCCAGCCCAGGCACATGGTACTTAGTGGCTGTTATCAAGTGTTCCAGGCTCAGCAGTGAAGCGATAAGAGCCGTGTGGCAGCAGTGAGAGCAAAGAGTGGCCACTAGCAAGCAATGGGCTCTAAGAGACTCAGGCAAGCAAGCCCATGGCAAGCACAGGAGTTTCCAGGCAATAGCTGCACAGAAGGAACAGCTATCCATTCCATCTAGAACATCCCAGTCAAATCTGTCCTTACCTCAAACCCTTCCAAGCCCATGCTGGGTGCCAGAAAGGTCTGTCTTGGTTTAATCCTGCTGGCACTAAGCCCCATGCAGCCACTCGCTCAGCTCCCCTGGCTCCCAGAAGGGGAAAAGTGAGAGAACGTGTCAGTCGAGATAAAGACAGTTTAATAGGTAAAGCAAAAGCCACTGAGATTTTTTTAAACCATCAAAATGAGGATTTCTTTGACAAAATGGGCTTTTGTCTACATGGTGTTTAAGGTAGGAAAACATTGGGTTTACCATCCATCTCTGGGAATGACACTGTGCTTGGGGCATCTTTGATGTTTTTGCTGACTGTAGATCTTGCCGTGTACCTTGTGGGCTTCAGTGTGAACTTGGTGTACCAATATATCATCTTTTTGGTAGAGCCTTCATTGACATGACCTTAACTGGGAGGTCCAAGTCAAAAAGAAGTGTGCCCTGTTCAGTGTATCTGTTTGATACTTTGTGGGCTGCAGAAGCTCAGTGTGGGATGGGGGATTTGCTGTTAAAAACAAATATTACATGCCTAATGCACCCCTTCATCTGCTCTGTGGTACTTAATGTGGATTTTTTTCAGTTTTGACAATAATTGTCAGACTTCTGTAACTCTTGGAGCAATCAGTAATTGGTCTTTTTTCACAAGAGCTAAATGGTGTCTTTCCTCTTCTAATCCCAGGATTTGCAAGTTGCGGCATTTGCTCTACAGTGGATGGTACACTCACCGAATGTGTCACACTCTCTCTCCATTCAGTCATCAAAAAAAACTTGTTTAAGAGATACTTTGGGTTTCTTCCTGGCCTTTTCATAAGGACTAGATTGTATTCATAGATGTCATTCTGCAGCCATGGGATAAAATATTTTTATGCAACATGGAATTTGATGTCAAGAGTTTCAGATTTGAGAGTAACACAAAATTTTAAGATTTGGCAGCACGTTTGGAGTTTCCCATGAGAGCAGCTGTCACTGGAGGGCTCTGCTCATGAATGTCCCACAGGAGCTGCTTGGTGTTGGGAGCATTGTCAGATGAATAAAGAACAAAACCATGTGGGAATTGTGCTACCATAACATCTAATGCTCATCTGCTTTTAGAAAGTGATATGAAGTATAGTCAGCTGGTTTATCCTGATGGCAAGCTAGGACACCCTGTGTCAGTGTGGAGCTTCTCTTGGGTGGGTGGGTGAGTAGGGGTCTGTGTGGTGCCAGCCTCTGCCTGCTGAAGTTGGGAGGGGTCCCAGGATGTGTACAGGGAGCAGGGCTGGAATCCAGGCTCAGCATCTCAGTCTTAGCACAGTGCTCTGGGGATGTGGGCAGCGAGAACGTGACAGAGTAGTGTATAAAGCTTCTTGGAGCTTTCAGCACTGCTGGTGTCACGCCAAGTGTGGGCTGTGTGGTAAAGCAGGGTTTCCCTGGCTCGCTGCAGTCACACTGCAGGGAGGGACAGCTCCTACAGCCACCCAGCAGGCAGAGGGGAGCTCAGAGCACAAGGCACACACAGGAAAGGAAAGGTGCCTCTGTAGTACGCCACACAGGGAAGGCTGCCTGTCTTCCCCATGGAACTGCTTGAATACCTTTACTTGGAGTCATGTAGTGGGGTTTGTTGTTTTAGATAATCACACTACAAAGTAGCTGAAACAGGGATAGAAGAACAAAGTTCCAATCTCAAGTTTGACTAGACAGGTATTGACAGAAGTTGTATGATAGTGGTGCAGAGATGGGGTAGTAGATCCCACTGCCAAGTGTGCTGTTTGCTTTAATTGTCCTCTTGTTACCTCTTCAGAGCTGCCTCATCTGACCTGTAGAGCGGTGTCCATGAAGGGCTGTGAGAGGACATGGAGTCTTGGGGATTTTGTGGTTCATGAACACAGACACTTCTGACAGAGTCAGATGAGTCTGATGCATGTTAATTCAAAATGGAAAGGCATACTTCCCTTGGCATGAGTTATAAATAGCTTTTATTCTGAGGATGTTTGCCACAGATAGGGTTTGAAAGAGGCTTAGAAGACAGAGATTGGAACAATTTTCTTCTGAAATGGGTATTCGGCAGTTTTGGTTTTGGTTTCAAGATCGGTTCAGTAGAAATAGAGGCTGTTACTCCCCCAGCTGGCAAACCTGATGTCCTCTGCTTGTAAAAGCCCAGTTCCAGTACTGACGGTTCTGTGGGAGCCCTTAAAATTAACTTCTCTGACCGGTGTCACTCTTCAGGAGCTGAGCTGTGTTTCACATCTGTGACTAGTACTGCTGAGCCATTGCCACACTCTTTGTAAAAAGCCTTGAGTGATTTTTTTTCGTAACACTTGATTTTGTTGAGTTGTGCAATTCCAGAGAGGCAAGTTTCCAGCATGACTGCAGCCCTTACATTTTCCCCGTGTTAACTCTCCTAAACGTGTCTGCACTCTGCTGATAGCCGTGTCCGTAGCTGGGAGTGTTATCAGCAGCTCTCACTGCTCGGGCTGCTGTCAGAGCCCAGAAGCCGTCTGTGTCAGGCCAGGGCTGGGTGGAAAATGGTACCCCTGAGCCCCAGGATGGGAGGCTGATGTGGAGGGAGGGGAGCTGGCTGCTGTGGGCTGCAGCCCCGTGTGCTCTGGGGAGTGCCACAGCTCCTCTCTGAACTGAGAAACCAGAGCCTGTGGAAGAGCAGGATGCCCCCAGGCTGCCGAAATCCTGGCTCCGGAGCTGTGTGCCTGTGGCGTGGCTTGGAAACAGACCCTGGCTATTAAGGGCTGGATTGGGCTGGATTTCCGTCACACAGGATTCTGAGAGGCAGTCTGGGATCCTGTTGGCACAGTAAATAACATCCTCACAGTGGACTGAGGTGTGCTGGTGGACGTCCTGCACCAGTGTGTCTGTGGAACCAGCCTGGCCCTAGCTGTGACCCACGGCTGTGTTTGTCAGCTGTCAGACAAGATCCAGGGAGAATGCACTGGGAGTCAGGAATTGGCCGCAGGTTCAGGGCTCTGGTCGCATCTCGCCCTCTGTGCCACAGGCTGCAGAGGCAGTGCTGGGCCAGGAGCTCCTCACCTGGGAGGTGGACTCAAGTGAGTGCAGAGGACAAGTATTAAAACTGGATTTTTTTATTCATTGCTTTATAAAAACAGTTTGGAAGACATAATGCTAGTGGTAAGAATCCAATTAATATCCCATGAATTCTTATTTCCCTCAGTGAAGAAACTGGTAAATGAGGCCAGGAATCAAAGCAGTTGATTTAGTGTTTGTTCTAATGCATTTTTATGGTTATGGTTGTCATAAGCCCAGTATGAGAAGGTATAAACTGAAGGAGCAGTGTTTCTTGTGAGTCACAACTGTACTGGGCAGCTGGGTAGGGTGAGGGGTGGGAGGGACATGGGACACCCCCCTATGAGTGTATACTGGATTTGTGACTCAAAGCTTCAGCCTTCCAGTGACAGCATGATCCAGGAGTCCTGCGGGATCTACCTGAGTGATCCAATAACACTCACAGAGTTTTCTCCTTGTATTTACAGTGCGTCTGGTGCAAGTGTTGTTGCCATTGACAACAAAATAGAACAGGCAATGGTAAGTAAAATATAAGTTGTTATTTCTAATAGGATTTATGTGGTTCATCACTGAATGTAAGTTCCCTGCTGTATTGTGTTTCTGTGAGGCTGTGATAATTCTCCAGGTGGATCAGACTGAGAGCATCAATTGAAAAAAGGATTTTCTGTGTCATCTGTGAATGAACACAAACCATTACTGCTTTTACTGTTGTCCCAGAAATGTTTTTCAGTTAATTTTCTTACAAACAAATTGCTGTGAACAAGGTGATTGAACTTGAAGAAGTGCTGAAAAATAGAGTGCATATTTCATCTGTTACTCTAGCCAAGTTCGTTACTAGTTTTTCTGAAGGGTCAGGTATGCCATCCTTAACACACTGCTCAGCTGAATTTTTGCTTCTGATGATGTAAAAACTTTCTTGTTGATTTGGTCCTCACACACCTCAGTGACTGGGCCTGTGTACCACAGACCCATACCCCCAGGTCACAGCATCAGAGCTCGTGCTTTCCTTCTGAGGAGCTGGGGCATCATTCTTCTCCTTGGCTTCCATGTAACTGGAATGACTGGAGTGCTGGAGACAGAGCTTTTCATATCGGGCCCACTTCACGTAAGGGCTGGGTTGTTTGGGCTCAAAGGCTGGTTTATTCATAAATTTTTAGCAATGAGCGCTTTTTTCCCCAGGCTTACTGCAGTGAAAGCAGTAACAGTAAGTTCTGGGGCTGGGGTGAAGGAAACTCATTCTTTGCCATGGTGTAAGTGTCCACTTGTTCTTTGCGCAGGATCTAGTGAAAAGCCATTTGATGTATGCAGTGAGAGAAGAAGTGGAAGTCCTGAAGGAACAAATAAAAGAATTAGTTGAAAGAAACTCTTTACTTGAACGAGAAAATGCACTGTTGAAATCCCTTTCCAACAACGATCAGTTATCCCAGCTGTCGAGCCAGCAGGCCGCCCCCAGCAGCACGCAGCCCGCGCAGCCCAACGTCTCCTCCGCGTGAGCCCGTCCTGTGCCACCGCCGGCTCTCGGCCCGAGCGAGCAGCCTGCTTCTCTTGTGTGTTTGGCCTTTTCAGTATTAGACAATCACCCTCCGGGGCTGCCCGAGCTGCGGCCGCAGTGCTGCTGAGGTGTCTGTGCTCCTCCTGCACGCCGGCGGCCGCGGAGGAGCCCTGCAGCCCGGGCTGGCTTGTCTGGGCTTCAGGAGGGAGGTCTGTCAGAGCTTGGGTGGCTCTCCGAGGTTCCCATTGCTCCTGGGCTGCTTCGAGCCTTGCTGTCTGCTAAGGAGCAGCAATTCCTCTTCAGAGCCACTGTTCTTTTCATATAAGTAACATTTGCCTATGTTAGTTTCATTTATTTGTTTTATTTATTACAGGGCTGCTATTTTCATAATGTACATGAACAATGTCACAGAACTTTTGAATTTTTTTTAATAAATGTCTGTATGGGTAAAATGATAGGTGGGATTGCGTTAATAGATACAATGTCTAGGCAATAATTGAACAAAGAATCCTGGCATATTTCTAACACTAATGGCAATTGACCTTTGGTATTTATTTACGGTAGTAAAGATCCAGCTTGAATGTAAATTTTGTATAGAGTGTAAGTATGAAGACCATAGTGCATCTGTACAGGTAGTCACCAGTCCTTGTGATATAATAAATAAGTGATGGGCTATTTTGATGAAGAAAACTTTGCTCATTTCTGTTTCTACTTTTTAATAGAGAGAAGGGGGGCCATGATCCCTCTGCTTTTTGACATTTCGTTTTTGGTTTGGTTTTTTGGGTGGGAATAAAAAGCTGTGAAATTGTTCAACCTACTTTGTAACCAAAGAAGCAAAGCTGTATAATTGAGTTGGTTGTTGGTTTTTTTGTTTTGTTGTTTTGGTTTCTTTTTTATTTTATAATGCACATTCTTTATGTATTTTTATTTAGTGTTTTCTCATTCACAACTTTCTTTGCTGTCTCGCATGATCTGCATGACCTGTAATCTTTGAACCACTTCCGTACCTCATGTTTTTATCCAGCACTCTTAGTGTAATATGTACTAGTCTGTGAACAATGTCAATAAAGAGAAAGAACAGCTGGTGTTGGTGGAGCTAAGCTAGTGTGCTAGGCACTAGTTGTTAAAACAAATAAATGAAGTGAGCCATCTTTTGTTCATTTAAAATGGTGTTTTGAATTTCGTATGCAGAAAACGTTTTGTTACATTGCAGATTTAATGTATTTAATAAATGCAACATGCAGATTAAATGCAAGTGTATACTGAGTATTTAAATTAAAAATGTACATTTCATAAATACAGTTTCAAAAAAGACCATAATTTGTGTAAACTAATACAGTGTGTCAAATTGATGTACAAATATATATATATTTTAACACATTTTCTGAAATTAAACCAGTTTTGTTGAATTTTGTGGCTGTAGATGTTGTTGCAGTATAATTAAATTTAGTAGTTCTTTTCTGAACAAAATGGAGAAAGTGTCAGTGAGGCAATAACAGATCAATGCCAGGGTTACCACTTTTCATGCAACAGACTGGTTTCTTCCCTTCTAGGAGAAACATCTTCTGATGCTGTCAGTGGCTGCCTTAGGACTTTGGGTTTGCACTGATAACTCTAAATAAACATCTGAGCCTGCCAGTCACAAGTCACTGCTATGGATGCCTGCTTCAGTACTTGAGCCCTGAGCAGGTCTAACTCTGCTCAGGTTCATGTCTAAGGTAAAACAGGAAACATTGGAAACTGCAAGTTTTGGTGTCTTCGGATCTCAAAGAAGTGTCCATGTCCTGGAAACTGAGAAGCATCTCTTCCCGGTAAGCATCAGGTCAGCACAGTTCAAACAAACCCTGTGTTGTGTGCTCAGTAACAAGTTCTTGCTAAAGTAGCACCAAAATGATCTTTCCGTTAGGTGTGGATTGGTGTCTTTCTGCCTGCTGCACCCCTGTGCTGTGAGCACTGATGGGAGACTTTGGTGCACACGGATTAGAAAGCAAAATATTCCAGTAGCTATGTGTGTTTCCTCTCCAGTGTGATCAGTGGTTCACTCTAGCTGTACAGTGAGGATGATGCTGGTAAAGTAAGAAAAAAGGGATAAATTGGGATTTCTGGGAGGAAGAGTCCCTCAGGTGAGTAGTTGATTAAAATTTCTCAGAGGATACTCTGTACCTGTCAGTTCACTTTTGAGTGAAACAGAACAGAGACGACTTTGTGCACCTGACTCGGGTGGTTATTGTCTTTGTGCTGGGAGCAGAGGGAGCGGCCCTGCTCCCCTCGGAATGCCTGTTCCCCTGGGTGTGAGGTGTGAGGCAGGGACATCCTTCACACCGGGGGGCTGCAGAGGTGCTTTCTCCGGAAGCAAGAAGCATTTAGTAAATCTGGAAAAGATGAAACAAAGATTGAACTGATCCTGTTAAAAAGGCTTTGCTTTGCTCTGCTCCTGTCAGGTTTGCTTTGTGAGTTTGTGTTTAGTTTTCTCTTAGAGATAGGCTGTATTCCGCTCTGGACAGCAGCTTGGCTTGTGAGAGCCCTGTGAGCTGGCAGAAAGGGTCTGGGAATGCTGCGGGCTCTTCTGGAGAGGCTGCCCGAGGAAAAGGACCGGCAGCTCTCACAGTGGGAGCGCCGTGCTGTCAGTGATGTGCGGCTGCCGATGGCAGAGAGCCTCGGTGGCAGGCGGCTGTTGTGCCGGCCCGGCTCGGAGCTGCCCGGCCCGGCCCGGCCCGGCCCGGCCCGGCTCGGCTCGGCCGGTGCCCCGCACGCTGGCTCTGCCCGGTGCGGAGCTGCCTGCGGGAGCCGGCTCTCCAGACCGCATGCGGCTGCTCTGACACGCGTCTTCGGCCTTGCTCCATGGCTTTGGCATAAAGAGAAAGGACTCAGCTGCTGCGTTCGGGGCAGCGTGTGCTTTAGCACGGGCTGGCACGGGCTGCAACGTGGTGCCACAGAACGCTCCGAACGCAGTGAGGCTGGGCAGAGGCGGCTCCGAGTTAGGCCCGGCGTCTCAGAGAGGCCGTGACAGGAGATGCGGGGAAAAGCTACGGAAACAGTGGATGATGCGGAGGAAATGCTTACTGAGGAGAGCTTCAAGGCCGCGGCCCTGGCTCAGAGGGGAGCATGTGCAGGAAGCTGGCACAGCAGTGAGGCGGCTCCGAAGCAGGTGCCAGGTGAGGTGAGCACAGAGCGGCCCTTCCCCGGCTGTGACCGGCGCTGTGGGGCCGTGCCTGGAGCAGAGACCCTTCCCCTGCTGCGGCACAGACCCTTCCCTTCCCTTCCCTTCCCTTCCCTTCCCTTCCCTTCCCTTCCCTTCCCTTCCCTTCCCTTCCCTTCCCTTCCCTTCCCTTCCCTTCCCTTCCCTTCCCTTCCCTTCCCTTCCCTTCCCTTCCCTTCCCTTCCCTTCCCTTCCCTTCCCTTCCCTTCCCCCGACCCTTCCCCCGACCCTTCCCCGCTGCGGCGGGCGGGTCCGGCAGTGGCGCAGCGGGACCTGCAGGGTCGGCGGCGGCCGCGGGGCGGCGCTGTGGGGCGGGGCGGAGCTGTCCCCGCACCGTCCCGCCCGGTGCCGTTCCCATTCCCGTTCTCGTTGCCGGTGCCGTTCCCATTCCCGTTCTCGTTGCCGGTCCCGGACCATCTCCGCAGCCCAGGATCCGCTTTCTCGGACCGGCTTCCCGTCGCTCGGGCTCTCGCGCCGTGCCGCCCCCCATCCCGGGCTGCCGCCGCGGCGCCGGGGCCGCTCCCTCCCCGCAAGGCTGCCGCAGAACGCGCGGCTCCTGTCGCCGCGGCCGCCCGGCTGTGCTGCGTGTGCAGAGGGGCGGGACGTGGCTGCGGCCCTTTGTGCAGCTCCAGCAGCTGTGAAAGGCCGGGCAGGACAGCAGGGGCCTCTCGCCTTGGGAAGCAAACCGTGTGCCCCTCCTGCAGCCAGCCTTGAGAAGGCTTCACAGGAGAAAAGAAAAAAAAAACTGAGATAGAAGTGTGTCGCAGGTGGTTAATGCCGTCACCTGACAAGCTCAGCTCCCTGAAGAACGCGGCCATCCGCGGCTGTGCGCACAGCTGTCAGCTGCCAGGACCTGGAAGTGAGAAGCTGCATCTCACCAGGGGAAATAAACGGGTATCGCTCTGGCAGGTTTCAGAAGGAAACAAGCGTGGTGTTTCACAGCTTTTGCTCTCGGATGTGCGGAGCCAGAGCACAGCTGGGGCCCGAAGGCCCCTCCAGAGGTGCCCCAGCCAGCCCAGCTCTGGCACTGCAGCTGCCCGTGACTCCTCACACAGGTGCCACTGCAGGGCACAGCACTGCACACACTGCTGTGGCCAGCTTGCACCAACGCAGGAATTTACTGAACTTCAAAGAACCAACTGGTACAAGCCACCTTGAACGTTCCCACAGCCCTTGAGTGCTGCTGTGCTGGCACAGCCAATGACTCCTGCAGCCAAGCAGGAGCTGGCCAGACCCCTGCGGCCTCTGTGGCATTCCCAGGGAGCAGAGAGGTGAGAGGAAGGCAGCTGCCGAGCCCCTGTGGGGGATGGCTGGTCCCCAGAGGGAAGTGCAGTGGTGGCTGGGTGTATCGTGGCAGCCCCGGCTCAGGCCCAGCACGCAGACAGCTGAGCACGGGGCTGCCCCATGGCATGGCAGCTCCTCCCAGGGAAAAGCCAACTAATCCCTGTTTGGTGTGAGTGGTGAGTTCCAACAGCCGGCAGAGCCCTGCTTTGCCCACATCAGAGTGAACACAGCTTGTGTTTGGAAAGAACTTTATTTAAAATCAGCGATGACACAACTTCCCCGCCACAGCACACGAGCGTCCCAGCACAGGGTCCCCATGCCCTGGGCGGCCCCGGCTCACACCAGTGATTCCATAAGGAAATACAACGTGTACAGAAGATCTGCTCCTTCACGGCTAACAGGCAATTCATTTACCTCAACGCATTCTGTTTTCTGTTATTCCTAGTGTAACCAGACTTAAAATTTGTCGTCTAAGAAACCTTGAGAAAAGAAATCTTCCTTTATCAACTGCGTGCACCAGCAGAGCAATTCCCACCACCTTTGTCACCAGGCAGACAGCAGAGCCATCAGGAGTCAGGGCCATCAGCAGGGAAATATGATCAATAGCAGCATTTTCCATGTGATCTCAAATTACAGTCGTCTACAGAAGAAGGAACTGTGATCACCAGTAGGGAAGCAGTTAAATACTGAATCCATTGTTAAAAGAAATCGAGTTGAAGGCAGGTTTTACCTTAAATAGGATTAAATATATATTGCAAGACACACCACACTCTGCAGGGGCTGCACATACAGAAGCAGAACTGTGGGCAGGGAGGCAGCGCGCCCCCCCCTCCACACCCAGTATTCCCACACAACATTGTCAAATTTAAAACTATCACCACTTGTTGAAAGTTGTCCAAGAAGTATTTACAGCAGGGGCACGGCCGGGAGAGGTGTGAGGAGCCGCAGGTCTGGCCGCGGTGCTCCCGCAGTCCATGGAGCTGCCGCAGCGGGTCCTGCCAGAGCAGCTCCGCCCGGCCGTGCCAGTTCCTCACCACCCCAGAGCCCTACACAGAGAAGCGTTTTGCGTGGATTGGGACAAAGCTGCAGGCGGTGCCGTGGTGTGGGAACGGCGAGCACTGCCACATGCTGCAGTGGGCCCGCCCTGCCCTGCACACACGGAGGATGCGGGGAGGCTCCTCGGGAACATGCTGCAGAGTCGGGCTCCAGCCTCTACAGGAATCCTGGCTTCCAGCGTCAAATGGAACCGTTTCCAGCTACACAGCGAGGGTGACACTGATCTGGGACCGGTGTTTACAAGAGATGCCAGTTCCTATGGACCTACGTCGCGTATAGCTCCACGTACTACAGAGAGCAGGCAGGATCTTCAGCGAATAAGTAGGTCCACGATTGTAGATCAACAACAGACTTTTATTGCTTTATACATGTGGTGCTGTTCAAGGCACTGTGGCACGGGCTAGAAAACTCGGAATGACTGGTGAAGGGAGCTGGAATGCGACACGGCCGGTGCCGCGGCCGGGCCGGCGGGCCATGGCCAGCCCGGCCCTCACATGCCCATCCGGATGCTCTGGATGATCTGGAAGATGGCTGCAAGAGAGCGGAGAGCGGAGCGCTCGCGGCAGCGCCGGCAGCGGGCCCCGCGGCCCCGAGCGCCCCGGAGCGCGGAGCGGCAGGGCCGGGGCAGAACCGGGGCGGAACCGGGGCAGAACCGGGGCAGAGCCGGGCCCGGAGCGGCACAGAACCGGGTCCGAACCGGGCCGGCAGGCGCCGCCGGGCCCTGCCGCCCGCGCGAGCGGCTCACCTGATCCGCAGACCACGAAGATGAAGAGCGCCAACAGCCAGGGCCCGACCGACGCCTTCTCCTCCGGGGCCGTTCTCTGCGAGCACAGCAACGCCGTCAGCGCGGCCCGGCCCGGCCCCGCCGCCCCCGCCCGCCCGCCCGCCCGCCCGCCCGGCCCGGCCCGGCCCGGCCCGGCCCCGCGCACCGAGGTCTTGGCGACGTTGCCGCGCTGGGTGATGTTCTTGCTGTGCTTCTCGTTGGCCATGCGGATGCGCTGCTTGGCCACCATGTCCGCGCTCGGCCCGGTCCGGCCCGGCCGCCGCTGCCGCGTCAGCACCGCGCGCGCGCCGCCCGCCGGGAGCGCGCCGGGCGCGGCCCCGCCCCCGCGGACGTGGCGCGCGCTGCGGCCGCCGCGCCGCCGCCGGAACCGGAACCGGAACCGGAGCCGGAACCGGAACCGCCGCTCCGCCCGCGCCGCAAGATGGCGCCGCCCACGCCGCTGCTCGCAGGTGCGTCGGGCCCGGGCGGCGTCGGGGCCGGTGCGCGGGGGGCGGCAGCGGAGTTGGGCTGGGCTGGCCCCGAGCCTCTCCGGTGCCGGTCGGCGTCCGCCGCGCGTCCTCTCCCCAGCGTGGGCTGCCGCGGCGTGGCCAAGCCGGGCCCCGGTCGCGGAGTTCTTGACGGTGAAATGGCCAAGTCTGGCGCAGGTCCGGGCTCGGCGGGCCCTGTGCTCAGGGGCAGCCCCGAGCAGCCGCCCCGCCGGGCCTCCCCCGCGGCTCTCGGGGCCTGCCCTGCCGCGGGGCCGCGCTCCGGCCGCGGGTGATTTCCTGGCGGGGCGCCCGGGCCGCGTTCGGGGGCTGGGCCGGCGCGGGGACAGCAGCCGCCGGCAGCCCGCGGGTCTGTGCAGCCCTGCTCGAGAGCCGCTCTCCTGCTCGGTGTGTGAGTGCTTGAACTGTCCCTGGCATAAGGGGTGTGCCCGGCTCTGTTCCTGACATTAGGGATGTGCCCGGCTCTGTCCCTGGCATAAGGGATGTGCACTTTCCGTTCCCATATTTGTACGCTCTAAGCACGAACCTGTTTCCCTCGCTCGGGGCTGGGGACTGCAGTTGTTTGGGGTACATTTTGGGCTGCTCGCTGCCTCTCTTGTAAGTTGGGATCCTGGTGGGGAGCATGAGGGGAGAGCTGAGAGAACGCGTTCCAGGCGGGGCTGCACAGCTCAGGGGTCACACTTCAGGTGTGTTGAAAGCTCCTTAGGGTCTCTCAGGGCTGTGGAGTGCACGACCCCTGCAGAGTTGTGTCTGGGCACGAGCAGAGCCATTCCTGTGTGAGGCTGTGCCCTGGCTGTGGGTGCCTGCCCTGGGGCACAGCCCTGCAGAGCCCTGGCAGTCCCCGCTCTGCCCCGCACCGTCCTTACAGCAAGTGTGGCAGGCAGTGTGCATGGCTCAGGGCTCACAAGTCAGGAAATCATCTGCTTCGGGCAATTTCCTGCATTTGAAAGGCGCCGTTTGTTTCCTCTTGCAGTGCGAGGGTCCGAGGGGCTGTACATGGTGAATGGGCCCCCCAGCTTCACCGAGAGCGCGGCGTTCCAAAGGTACTGCTGCCACTAAAGAAATGGTGTTCTGAGATTAGACTCTGGAACTGAAAAGTGGGTGCTGTAAGCGAGTTCAGAACAGGGGTGGTTTGGAAGGCTTTGCATTGCTGAGCTCTGCCTGCCAGCTGGCAGTCCCTGAGCAGGTAGCAAGGACTGCTCTGTGGCACAAGGCTCCTCAGGGGCTCAGCAGGAAAGCTGTTGTGTTTGTTTTTGTTAGAAAAACCTTACCTACGGCATACTGGGTACTCACATGCATTTCTTATTTCTTTAGGGATTCTGGAAAAAATTGCAAAGCTGTTGCTTTCAGCAAGGACGGCTCC